TTATGCGAATTCATCGCTAAACGAGGCAATCGTTAAGCGAGGCACCACTGTAATATTTGTTAGTTCTGTATTTATTTAACAAATAATTGACCAAATTAAAAGTTCTAATTGACAAAATGGGCAGGGTAAATTTGTGATAATTGTGTATCCAGCTCAAGCCCTGTCAATATGGAATCAAAGCTTTGTTAATGTCCTGTCCTTGACTGCTCTACTCAGCTCTTGCAAGCTGCCCAAAGTTTTAGTTATTGGGTGTTTCAGTAATGAAATAAATAAGTGAACAGAACAACATATGGAATCAAAGAAAAGTCTTTCAGAGTATTAACTTACTTACAGAAGCTTACACTCTAATTTCCAGTTTCACAAAAAGTTCAATAAACAGATTACCCAAGAAACTGAGGTGCTGTGTCCTAAGGAAAACTAATAGTACTGTAGGATTATTTTGTTACTGTTGTGTACTGTCAGGTTGCTTTTGACGTATGGTGAACCTATGAATAAATTATTTCCAAAATGATCTGTCCTCAACTGCCCAGCTCAGCTCTTGTAAACTCAAGCCTGTGGCTCTCTTTATCTCGTGCTTGGTCTGCCTCTTTTCCTGTTGCCTTCCACCTTTCCCAGCATTATGGTCTTTTCCAGAGAATCCAACCTTCTCATGATGTGCCCAAGTAGGACAACCTTAGTTTCATCATTTTTGCCTCAGATATAGTGATAGTGACTCAGTATTAATGTTTTATTGCAGTGTTGGCACTTTGAAATAAATAAGTTGTTTTTGTGTTGCAGTTTGGGCACTCGGGCTCAGAATGGTTCGCCATCACTGATCTAGACTATTAATTGAGTTAATTTCAACAAAGTGACAATACTTTTTGTTACTTTTGAAATACACCATTTCCACTGTATTTAATAATGCATAGAATTCAAAATATCCCAAGTTAGCATGTATCACTAAGAAAATAAACTTGAGGAAAGGACTTACCAAATCTCCACTTTCAGGAACTGTAAAGAAAGAATTAAGTAGGAAGTTTATATAAAGAAAAAAGTATTATTTTATCACATTTAAAAAAAAAAAAAATCAAGCACCCAGATTTTCATTTTATGCTAACAAGGGTCTGGAGGTCCTAAATTACTGCTTGAACACATTTATAAACCAAGGCTTAACACAAAGCTTGGTAGCTGAGCAGACATTTGTGTGCATCCAGAGTTTTGGTACCATCAGTTTTGCAAGTCTGTGGGAAGCTATTCCAAGACTAGGAATACAGAGAAACAGCTGTGAGTGTTATGCACATGTAGCTCGTTTCCTATTTTTGGGTGGTATTGCCTCTACAGCCTATTTGTTCAGTGAACAGCATGATGACCAAGATACTTGAAGACTGCCAGTTACAAAAGTCTTAATGGTACTGGAAACTCTGGATACACACAAATGTATGTCTAATTACTAAGCTACCATCCCAGTCACAAAAACCCGTGAGCTTCCTGTGAAAAATCTTGAGGCAAGAATGGCCCAATACCCCAAAAATCACCTCATCAAAGCACATGTATCTCGTTTCATACTCTCTTGCTGAATTATGTCCAAGAAGACTGGTTTTTGTTAAGAGGACTCTAAGTAAATCAAGTAGCCAAGAAGCTTTTCACGGATCCTTTTCACCTGTCTGAGTTAAGTTGTTTACCTGCTTCTCATACACACTCTGAGTCCAGTTCAGTAAGCACCAGCCCTTTTGTACTTAACAGAGCAGATTACTCCACTATTCCTCTATCAAGGCACTTACTATGGACCAACTCTGTACTGAAACTCTTGGAATTGCCCAGGATCTACTTCACTGGTAGCCATATTTGGTCTTCCTTTTTTCCCCGGTGCTTTCAGCTTTTTCTGGCATTATTGTCTTTTCCAGAGAATCCTGTCTTCTCATGACTTCATCATTTTTTTACTCCAGAGATAGTTCAGTTTGATTTGCTCCAAAACCCACTTGTTTGTGTTTCTCTACTCTAGCACCATATTTCAAACAGATCAATGTTTTCCTATCAGCTTTCTTTACTGTACAATTTTCACACTCCTAAGAGATATTGTATTGTATGTCATCTGTATTGTAAGCAACACTGGCAGTTCTTGTAGCTGATAGGTATACTATAAATACTCCAAATAAGTAAAATAAATTTACCTTCAGGAGGACTGAAAAAATTGAAGAAAGAATCATTGGAAACTGTTTTTGTCACCGTTCTAACAGTTCCACGCCCCTTGTGTTTTTGCTTCTTTTTGATGGTTTTCAAAGTAACATTCTTCCCCTTTTTCCAGTCTATCTGGCACCTAGAGGAAAATTCTGTCATCAAACCAGTCATATACTTAAACATATATCCTAACCAGTTACAATATTGTCAGATTTAACTGAAATGTGCTATCATGAGGGTTGAATCTAAAAACAGTAATTGAACTGCCTGGATAACAAAGGTATCTCAAAGACCATAGACAGCAAACTTGAATGAAATAAAAGACCTATACTTCTTTCTTTCAAACATGATTTGAAAATAGTTCTCCATTGTGGAAATTCTCATCATAGGATTAAATATATGCAACAAGCAATATAGCATATTTCAGCAAGAATTGCACTCACTAAGTGAGTAAGATGAAAATACAAGTCTAAGTATGTCAGAGCAATAGTATTTGTGGAAAGTCACTTACTTGTGAAAGTCATACACATCCCTGTTTTATAAGTGGTACTGTGCATCTGTGCAAATCATAAAACCATGACCAGTACCTCTTTTGTGTATGCATATTATGGAAGCAATCCAATGCGCACATATAAGGCATCAACATAGTTACATAGTTACAGATGAGAAGGGTTTGAAATTATTATTTTTAATTAAAAAGAATATTGCAAGGGTTTTAAATCTAGCTGGCCTTTAAGTCATGGTAAAAATGTTAGAATCTACTTGTGCTTTAGCTTAAATCTACTTGTGTTTTAGTTTATATCAGAGTTTAGCCTAGTCTCAAAAATCTAAAAAGGGAGGAGAGCATTTTAGTGGCACAAGTTGCCACTAAATTTTAGTGGCACAAGATGATGGTGTCATGAGCTTCTACCACAAGAAGTTATGATAACAAGATTTGGGCCATCATTTTTAATTGAATATTTAACACTTTTTACTGCTCAAAATCACCATTTTCACCACCATTAATTCAACAGATTTTGCACCATTTTCCTTTTTAGTGTGGGTCTTTAAAAATTATTTTTATTGACATGGTTATCTCGTGTCAATATAGTTTCAAATGATAAACTATAAACAAATGTGTATATAAAACAAGCAGGCTGTACATTCAACAGTAATAATTACATAAATCTAGCTTCTAAAATATATTAGAAGTTCACACTTACCCTGTACAACCCATAATTTCTGGTCCATCGAAAGAAAAAGGATCAGATTCATCAGGTTCTGATCTCATTCTATATGTTTTTGTCAGAACGTCATTCGTGAAATACTCATTAGGTTCGAAGTGAAATTCTAATGTAAAAGTCTTTTAGAAAATTACAAAAATTAGTTTACAATAGATACTGCACAATTCACCTTAATAACAAATCTTATACTCAAAGCATATTAACAAACTCACTCCACTGCTCTGCTAATAAACTATTAATGGCCCTGTGATTCTTTCCATCTCCAAACCTCTGGATGTCACTGGACTGCAGCTTTCATCATTCGCAGTCACCAAGAGATGCATTGGGAGCTAGTATTCTAAGCAATAGCACTGAAATACAATGCTATCTACATACAGTAAGTAGGAAACCCGTGGTCCTCCATGTGTGGCTGGACCCCAATGCCCTTCAGCCCCAGCTACCATCACCAATGCTCAGAGATGACGGTGAACTGGGCTTCAACATCCAGAAGACCATAGATATCCCACCAATGATCTAGACAATGTTCTGCTGCATCTCAAAACCCATGTCACACATTTACATATATTAAAAAAAGGAACAGTATTTTTACACATGGAAAGTTACTTCACTTTTACTCATTTTTCACAGGACTTGCACTACTGACATTTACTTTCATACAGGACAACTTTCACCAACACAAGCAATACGGTGATAAAGAACTGAAAAGAGAAAACTTTGCAAAGGAGTCCTTAAGGGATCCCCATGCAGTCATATTTATTAATCAGAGGTAATACAGACACCTTCTGGGGTCAGGAGTCAGCTATGCGACTGCAGGCTTGAATAGGCAAAGAATCCTTGTAAATGCAAGGAATATCATTAGCCATAGTTGGATTCACCGTGGCAATCACTAATGGCCTAGATAATTGAGAATGCCACTACTGATAGTTTTTTTAAAAAATCAATGTTTTTTTGATGTAGTCAGTTTACATATTCAACTAAAAAGCAAACTTTTTTTGCAGCATCACAAATCAAAATGCTAGATATACGTGACACAGTCCTTAGTTTTAGCAAGCAATTCTGACCCATGTAATAAATGTTTGTGGCTACAAGTACAAAATAAATAGCAAAATGTGCAAATACTATGTTTGATTAACTGAAACACACATTTTAGGGAATGTTTATATGTAGTCTTCATAGAATGTTTTAGAGTAACTCACATTACAACACAGGGTCATTAATGGGGGAATTTAAGTCTGTCGAAGTATCCTTAATGTCAGGTTAAGAAAATATATGAGGGAGTGTTTTCAAATATACATCCTGTTGTTTGGCTCATGTGATTATCTAATGCACTAGTTCTTAACCTTGGGTTACTCAGGAGTTTTGGACTGCAACTCCCAGAAGCTGTCCTGACTGGGGTTTCTGGGAGTTGCAGTTCAAAAGCATCCGAGTAACAAAGGTTAAGAACCACTGATCTAATGTGAAGAAAATGCTTCATATTCACTTGAGCCAGGATAATGGAAAATCTGGAATGTTCCTCATGAGAACAGCTTCCACAGGAATGAAAACTTCTATTGGTATGAGACTCTGAATTAGGTTGACAAGACCTTTCTCTGGCAAAATTAACATGACAAGATGTTTAGACAGCCTAAACTTGTTTGACCCTCTTATTCAGCTTTTGATTACAGGTTTATGGACTGCTTTCCTTCATCAACTCAAAATAAAAAACTCAAATACTGTTATGTTTATGATAATAGTTCTGTTATCCATTACCCAAATAAGTCTGAGGAGATTTCTGGGTAAACTAGAAAACACTTCCCATCTGCTTTTATTATGGCAGAGAGGTTGGTTTAAAAACAGGGTCATTTTTGGCAAATAAGTTTTTTCAAACCTCATGGGGGGAGGTCTGGGATCACCTTGGGGGCCCAAAAATACTAAAGAGGGGGGGATACATTCTCCCTCTTGTTGCCCTAGGATACTCAGTGGTGGTAATGCATTTACCATATATACAATTGTCTATATATAAGAGCAGGCTGTACATTACTTGCTGACAGATTAAACTATATCCATCATACATAAATTTTCCAACTTTATGTTATCAAGCTCAGAAAAAAAAATTCCTAAGGACACCTGCTGTGGATTGTTACTGAAATAATGTGTGAGAGGTCCTCCAAGAACATGGTGTTACTTCTATGCTAAAACAGCAGATGTACACAGAATATTATTCAACCATCTCAATATTATAATTCTGACCAAAGTCTAAAACTTACCATGGGCTGCCCTGCTTCTGAAAACTTCACTTTAATATCTTTCAAATGTTTCAGAATAGGTTCATCATGTTCCTACGAAATAAAGCTGTCATTAACACTCTTCATATCTAATGAATATAATATAGTTATAAAATAGAGAAAACAAAAGTACAGTGGTGCCTCAACTTCCAACCGTCCCTACTTCCGACCAATTCGAGTTACGAACAGCTCTGGTCGCAAAATTTTGCTTCTACGTGCGACCGAAGCTTCCACTTACAAACAGAAAAAGGCAGGGGGAAAAGGCGGGAAATTCAAATTGCTTACTGTAGGTGGCGAAAGAGGCTGCTGCTTCTTTGTAGCTCTTTCGCCCCGACAGTGAGTGTATGATCCGAGGAGGCTGCCTGCTAAGGTATGGTGCTGCTTTATGCTTTTTAAAAACTGTTCTTGGTACTTTTGCATTTTGGCTGGGGGGGGTATGTTTCTGTGCTGTGATGGGTCTTGGGAGGGTTGTTTGTTTTTTGGTTCCCCCCCCATTTCCGAGGGGCGTTTGGTTGCTTTTTGGAGTGTTTTTTCCCATTTCTGATGGGTTTGGGGGGTTGCTTTTTGGTCCCCCCCATTTCCGATGGGTCTTGGAGGGTTTGGTTGCTTTCTGGGGGGTTTTCCTCCATTTTCGGTGTGTCTTGCATGCTTCCGTTGCTTTTTGATTTGTTATTGCATTACTGATCTGCTCCCTTTGATTTCTTTGCTTTTGCAATGGTCCTGCATGCTTCCCTTGCTTTTCCTTTGCTTTCTGTGCATTTCCGACCTTGTCTATTCATTCTCTGTGCATTTCCAATCTGCTCCATTTTTTCTGTGTTTTTGCAATGGGTCCTGCATGCTTCCCTTGCTTTTTCCTTTGCATATCCGACCTTGTCCCTCTGTTCTCTGCGCGCATTTCCAATCTGCTCCATTTTTTCTGTGTTTTTGCAATGGGTCCTGCATGCTTCCCTTGCCTTTTCCTTTGCATTTCTGTCCTTGTCCCTTTGTTCTCTGCACACATTTCCAATCTGCTTCATTTGTTTTCTGTGCTTTTGCAATGGGTCCTGCATGGTTCCCTTGCTCCCCCCCCCCTTTGGCCAGAAGGGATTAATCATGTTTCCAATGAGTCTTGCAGTGATTTCCTATGGGAAATGGTGCTTCGGCTTACAACCATTTAGAGTGACGACCATCATTCTTGAACGGATTAATGTCATAAGTCGAGGCACCACTGTATAACATAGAAAAATGGAATAGGACACCAAGTATCTAGGGCAAGTATAATATTTCACTGATTCAGTTTACCCGGTGGTGGTAATGCATTTACCATATAAGTACAGTGGTGCCTCGCTTACCGATCGCTCCGTTTAACGATGAAATCACTTAACGATGGGGTTTGGGCCATCGCCAGAGCGATCGGTTAGCGATGGCCCCTATGGGGATAAATCGCTTTGCGATCATGGCAAAGCGACCCTTGCACGTCCGGGGGGAGGTGGGAGGATCCACCCGGTGGGGAGCTAAGGGGGAGCCTCTCATCCCGGCCAAGGGATCCCGTGGAAGCCCAGCCTCCACTGGGAGTCCCCCACCACCACCACCGGCCTCTCTCTCCTCTGCCGGCTTCCCCCTTTCGCCTTCTAGCCCGGAGTCTGTCCTCCCCCCCTCCTCGCGAGGGGTGCCTCTTGCGAGCCCCCGCCGCCTGCCTTGCCTTAAAGGAGCAGAGAGGGCTGCTCCACCGCTGCCAGGCTCCCACTCCAGACTACGGAGCGCGGCCCCGCTCTCCTCGCCTCCCCTGCCTTCCCTCTTTTTTCCCCCCTTCCCTTCCTTCTCGCTCTCTCCCAAGAACGGAACGGATTAACGTCGTTAAGTGAGGCACCACTGTATCCCCATAAAACTGGAGTCTGCAAAGTACAGCCCGCAGGCCACATCCGGCCCGCCTTGCCTTTTTATCCGCCCCATACATGCGGGTGTATGCACGCACGTGTACTTCTGGCCCTCGAAAATATGGAAAATATATTATGTGTCCTTCACACTGAAAAATTTGGAGACCCCTGCTATAAACCATAAGAACAGCCTTATACAGAAATGCAATACATAACTTATGCCCAACAGTACATATACTCTGCAATTCTATGCAAATGCAGTATAGTTGTGGCATTTGCCCCTAGTCCCCCTTGGTTATTGTCCAACCACAGAGCACTTGAAGGCAAACCAAACTCCTCTTCACACGCTACCACCAGTTGATTACTAAATCAACATACTTTTCTAAAGAAAGATGAAGGTCCATTCATCAATGTCTTTTTAAATAAAACAGATTTATTGATTACAGAAGTTTCGGTAATAATTCATATGTATCTTCTTCAGGTTTCTAAATCATCAATAACAATCTTCTATTTGATCTTACAGTTACTATACACTCTTGTGACTAATCACACCCCAGATCTCCCAAATATCACTCTCTCACTCCAATCTCATCTCTCCTTGACTCTCCACTTTGACTCTGACTCTGACTTCTCTATGCTCAGACTGACTCTGACTCTCTCTCAGGCTCTGCCTTTTTTTAACCTCTCTCTGCTCTTCCTCTCAACATTAGCCTACAACATGAATAATGCATGACTATTTAACATAATAAGGGTGAATGCCACAATGGTATTGGGTGAAATGTTTGTCATAGCTCTGCTCACAATGTGTTAAAAGAACCACTAAGTAAAACTGATTGACAGTGGGCTCAGAATGCACCAAATCTATTATTTTGCACTTGTTAACCTGTAGAACTCCCTGCTAATGATGTAGCAATGGCCGCTATTTAAGACAGCTTAAACAGAGGATTAGCTGGCTAAATAGCTCAGTCGTTTAGGAATCTGGTGGAAGAGCCGAAGGTTGGGAGTTTGATTCTCAACTGTGCCTCGAGGGAGAAAAGCCAGCCTATGTGGCCTTGGGTGCCTCCAGAAAAAGGGAATGGTAAACCACTTCTGGGTATCGTCTATCTAGAAAACCATGAGAAGGGTTGCTATAAGTCAAAATTAACTTGATGGCATACAATTATTATTAAACAGAATATTAATATGTTCCCGAAGAATAGACTTATCAACTACTAGTAGTTACTGGATCTGACAAAAGTTTTCATGATTAAATGCAGTAAGAAGTAATGTGGAATGGCCTGCTTTTGAGTCTCCCAAGGACATTAACTGGTGGAATACTGCTGGAAACAGAACATAGAACTAAATATATCCTCAGTGTGATGTAGGAGAATTGTGTCATTCCGCTATAGTAGAGAATTTATATCACCAAGAAAGGGATCACTCATGCCTAACAGGCATGACTAGTAATCTATCATTGTATTTCAGAAAGTAGATTATAGCCAAAACATTCAGGAACTTAAAAGCTTATTTTTTTTTACCTGAACCATATCACTGAGCAAGTCAACGTTCTTGAATACTGTCAGCCAAAATTCAGGAATTCCTTTAGGATCATCTTTTTCTTGGTCTTTTTTCTCCTCTTCCAGCTTGGCTTTCTCTTTCATTTCCTCCTTGTTAAAATTAAGAAGTTACTCTTTCTAATATTTGAGCGCTGCACACTAATCAAGAAATTTAGTGTTATACTAGTAACATAATGAACGGGAAAACATTCAATTACAAACTACATTATTAGGCACTCCTATATTTAAAGTATCTACTCTTTCATTAAGAGTTGCTCAGAAACTCAACAAAAATCAAAATAGGATGTTAGAGTTCAAAACTGTATTATTATTGTTTAAGCTATGTCCAATGAAGGGTAATGATTTCCTCCCTTTTATCCCATAACTTGTTTGATTTGCAATAACCTTTTGTAGAAACCGTTGAACAGAAGAGGGAAGTCTTCAATTATCAAAAATCTCCACTGAGGAAAGACATTACTGGCAGAGGGAGATTTTTAGTAATTAAATAATTCCTTTTACTGTTGGTGGCTCCCAGAGCTTCCACGAACTGCAGATTACTTGCAAGTCAGACAAACTGCATGACCCTGCCCAGTGATGCCATCACCTTTTCACAAATGTCAACACAATTTTGGCCAAAGTATGATTTACACGTTACACAATTTGTTTGTATTTATTACTGAAACAAATTTACTCCCAACTACTGAAGCACAGATATACAAAGTGTTTTCTGGTGCTGTTGCTGTTTTAAAGCATGTTTAGGTACTCACTGAAATTTCTTCTTCAACATCTGTTTTCCACTCACATTCTTCTTCTGTAGGTTCATAAACTGCATTGATGATTTCACTTCTCTAGAAAATCAAAGCATTGTTCTTTCAAGTTATCATAACAAATTGCTCATATTTGTGGATTAAAAAAATACAAAATGACTGATTCAATGGGAATTCTGCCCCACTTGTCACTTTCAAACACAAAGCAATAGAGGTACAGTACATGAATTACCTTGTCAAACAACGGCTGATAAAGAGCAGCATATTTTCTTTCCAGTTCATGAACTTCTTCGTAGAACTTTGCTTCTATCTGTGCACATTTAACTTGAAGATTCTTGAGTGCATTTACACGTCTCTTAACGACTTTAGGTAAGCTGGGGGCAGAAATATTACACAGTTATATTAATCGGGCACCATGTCAACTTCTGAAAAACAACTTCCTTCAAGTACTTTTTACATTCAGGACTAACAGTTGGGCACAACTTCCACCCACTGAACACTCTATACAACAGCCTTATACTAGTATCTAACTACTAACTGAGATTTCAGCATCATTTTAGAAAACTAAAAAGTAAAACCAGGCAACAAACAACAATCTTCCTATAAAAACATCTGAAGAGAATTCCATGCAGATCAAATATTAGTAGCCTTTTTGTTATCATTCACTGATGTCAATAAATAGGCGAGTGGCACATTGATGTGGGCCTCTAGGTCCCCTGGCTTCAAGACACAATTTGTCTGACTGTAAAACCATTGATAGTTTTTGTGTGCTGATTTTTGAAAATGCTCTTTTCTTAAGTAATTCAGCAGACGTTAATGTAATAGTACTTTCTCACCATGACAGAGCACAGAGATAAAGACACATTACAGCATTTTGAGCTATAAATCCTAGTAACTGAAGAGTATCTTAGACAGAACCCAATTTGTGACTTTGTTCTTCCCTCTCATTGACCTGCTTGGCATTATAACATTTAAGCACTTGCTAAGTATTCATTCCATGCCAACTGTGCACAGCTCATAAGTCACCACAGAAATTTGCTATGGCTATACAAACACAACAAGCACAGGGAGAAGAATAACATAATCAGTTCCTTAGTGCCTCGAACACTGCTGTTCCATCACTGGAAGAGTGTCCAAGAGCAAAACTGTAGAATATCATATGGTATTGACATTTCAGACTTGTTATATTTTTCTTGCAGACAGGATAATTTGTAGTCTTTGAGAGACAAAAAAAGAACCCCATATGCATGCATGTGTGTGCATGCAACACACATACAAACAAGATAATTGAAGTAAAATATCTTATACTTTACTTAAAAATGTAAAAATCCACTGTAAAGGCCTATAACTATCTCTTCCTATTACTGTTCTGAAGTATGCCTTCTGAGGATTTAAGGAGAATTAACACATTATGTCATTTAACAATGACACTTTCACAGCTTAATCTGGCATGAATCAGTAGACAGAGTTTACTGTAGCCAAATTTAAAGCTACCTGAAAGCAAGAAGTGGTACGATTTACATGTGTTTCAGCATATGAGCTACATAGATAAGAGAACAGCAATGTTTCAGAAAGAAATACTTTGGGGGGGGGAGGAAAAATGCAAAGCAACACTAGTGGCAAAGAAAGAGTAACATGAGAACAAGTAAAATGAATTCAAGATTGGTTTTACTGATATCCCATTTCTGTAAGCACTGTCTGTACACAACTGAAGATCCCCTTTAGACCTAACATATCCTTGTGAAAGGTAGTCCAGGATGCCTGCTTGGTCAAGCATCATAAAAGTCGAATTGCTCACTCTACAGTTATAATCTATGCAGTCAGACTGAAAAAGATCCTAATCACAAAAGCAGGACATTTCATTAAATAACTATCTGGATGCCAAGCTTCTCATATTATGCAGTTTCTGGATAATAATTTGGAGGGTGAAATATTTTAAAACATGAAGTCCAAGTGAGAGGCCAAACCTGCACTAAAAGAAACTAACAACTGGGACTTCTGGCTTGATGTTGTGATGAGACAGCAGGAGAAGGACGGAGCTCCATCCCTTGGGCTGAATTCCGACGTGTATGGGACCCCTCAGGATGAAATGGGGGAGAAGCCATTAGACACTAATTAGACATTTAATTATACTTCAGAGAAAGAAGTTTGGTGTTACTTTGGCGTTAGAAACTTAAGAAAACTCGCTCTTAAAATTATTAGCTAAACAACTCTGGGAGTTAAACTTGTTATGTTATGGCACAGCCTCTACAGCATTGGCAAAAAGCCCAAAACAATGACCTTGAATACTCTATGGAAGTTTTTACTTCCTTTTGTTTGTTTGTTTGTTTGTAGGACTGACTGAAAAATAGACAAATTAACCCTAGAAAGTCTAATCTGCCAAAATGGAATTTTTAAACTGTATCCTGGGTTCTGAACTTGACTGGAGCACAGGCCAGGATAGAATCAATACTGGAATGGACTGTCTCTGGGGCTGATTACAAAAGACATCAGAACATGAATATAAACATCGAGTGAACTATTTGGTGCGCAAGTGTCATTGAGCCTCCAAGCAAGGGAAACTCTTTACATCTGAGACTGGATTTAAGTTAAACCCTAAAGGTGATCAATCTATTAAAGTGGACCTATGGAAGCAAGTATTGATGGAATTGGACTGATTACTTTAAGCAACTGGACAACTTTCAAATGGAATACAATTATTTGTTATCTGGGACATAATGCTACAACAAGGAAAATTATGGGATGAAACAAAATCTATTCTTCAAGCAATTTTAGTAATAGTGAGATTCCAAAATGAAGAGGCGGAATTATTCAATGAGCAGCTAAGGAAGGACTATAATCAGCAGGAGACAGGGAATAATGAACAAGAAAATGAGAGGGTGGTGGATGATGTATGCCAATCAAAGAAGGGACTGGAGGAAATCAGAGGAGAAAATCTAGGAGCTCTACTTCTAACCCCAGAGGCGAGGAGAGTTTTAGGTGTGCCAAGGGAAGATAAGGGGAGAGAACAAACAGATTTAAGGAGAAATGGCCTGGAAGATCTATTGGAGATAGATCAAGTGCATAAATTGATCTCAGATGGTATAAGGGACAGCAGAATTTTTAGAGCGCTAAGAACAAGAACTGGGAAAAGACAAACAAGAAAAGGAGTTACTTAGAACACTGGTTCTTAACCTTGGGTTACTCAGGAGTTTTGGACTGCAACTCCCAGAAGCCTTCACCACCATCTCTGCTGACTGGGGTTTCTGGGAGTTGCAGTTCAAAAGCATCCGAGTAACAAAGGTTAAGAACCACTGACTTAGAAGATGTAAAGGAAAATTATTAAGGTGGACTTCAATATTGAAAGCATGTATACACCTAACCTCTGGAATTGTAAGGGGACACATCTTATATGTTAGAAAAGTGAATGAAACTGAAATAAGGGATCACTAATCAGGGTAAAGGCATAACATGGTGGTTCTTAAGGTAAATTGAAGCTACATGTAAGAAAGAGGTAAAACAAATAGTACTTAATTAACGCGTTTCCCTGAAAATAAGACATCAGGGGAAGTTTTACATTTCTTTCATGTACAACAATCTACTTTTATTCAAATACAGTCATGTAATCTTCTGGTTGCGGCACAAAGCTGCACTATGGTGGAGGACAGGGGTTTCACTTAACTGGTACTTATTTTGGGGGTAGGACTTACATTACGAGCATCCTGAAAAAACACACTACAGCTTATTTTCAGATTAGGTCTTATTTTTGAGAAACAGGATAACATATTAGATATTGCTATAGACATGATAGGAAATGTGAAGACAGAAATGGCTAAATAATTATATAAAGAAAATCTATATAAAATCCTTTAGATAACATTTATTATGTGTTAGGAATCCATTTAGTTATTACTAGTATAAAATACAAAGTTGGTTGGTTAAATTGCCTCCAAATTAGATAGATTTGAAACCAGAATTGCTTTTATTAGGTATTTTATTAGAGGATTTTGAGAACATTGTATACTATGAGAGCATTATTATAATAATAACCAATATTGTACACTAAAATACACACGATTGCTTCATATGCTTAAAAGATGTAAAGACTTTGAAGGGACAACTAAGAAGACACCAAGACACAAAAACAAATAATAATAAGCAACCCATGTAACACGATGTTTAACAAGCATGAACTGAATGTAGATATATTGAAAAACTAATAAAATGTTAAATAAAAAAAGAAACTGACAACTGACAAAATGAAAACGCGTTTTTCTGTAAAGACTATCTAAACAAAGATGAGCAATATCTACCAAATAAATAAAGTTATTTTTTCTTACGCACAGCAATATCAGTCCACGGACTATCATATGACTAGGTGGGAGAGCTTCTGTCTTGCAGGTTCGTTGAAGGAGGTTGGGGTGCAGGGAGGAACTCCTGACCAGCATGTTTGCTTGTTTTGTAATTTTGTTGGTTGGGTCCCATTTCAGTTTTCTGTAGGTGGTGGGGTCTAGAAGTTCCCTGATTTTGTCCTTGTATTCTTCTGTTTCCATAGTTACTGTGGTGTTGCCCTTGTCTGCTGGCAGAATGATGATGTCCGGATCTGAGTTTAGGGACTTGATCGCATTTCTCTCCTTTCTTGTTATGTTGCTTTTGGGGGGTTTTGCTTTCCGTAGGATCCTAGTCACTTCACCTCTTATTTCCTCTGCTTTTTCTTCTGGAAGATGATATAATGCTGATTCCACATTGGCAATGATATCTTCCACAGGAATTTTACTGGGTGTGAATGCAAAATTTCCTCCTTTGGCTAAGACCGAGGTTTCTTCTGGGGAGAGTTGGCGTTCAGATAGGTTGTTGTTGATGATGATGTGCAAGGTTGGCTTGTTTGGCATTTGTTGAATTTCTGTCTTTGTCTGGCTGTGTGGTTCACCATTTCTTTTTCTTTCTGTAGGAGAGGTTATCGATCTTGTCCCAATCTTGACTCCTCATTTTTTTTGGGATATGTTGATGTGTAGGAATAGTAGTTCTTTGTCTGTGGAGTCTAGTTTTTTGCGGGTTGTGTGGATTCCAGGCGGTCATAGATGTGTGGCTAGCCTGTGGGGAAATGAAGGTCCTTTTTGTCCTGAGGAAGGCTGGTATGGTTTTTGTGTCTCTGCAGCGTAGTAGAAATGTTAAGGAACACAGTAGGTGTGCTCTTTTGCTTTGGAGTGTTTCTAGTCTCTGAGTCTGTCTGACGGTTTCCTCCCCGTAGAGGCGTTCAATATATTCTCGAAGGCTTTCACGGCCAGGATCTGATAGTTGTTGTGGGTTTTTTGGGTTCTTTGGCCGTGTTCCGAAGGTTGTTCAGAGACTGGCGAAACGGCAGGAAGAACAACCTTCAGAACACAGCCAAAGA